CCCCCCCGGCCCCGGGCAGCCTCGGGGGGCCGCGGCAGCTCGGCGTCCCTCCGGGGACCCCCCGGCACCGCAGCTCGGCACCCGTGGGGGAGGCTCCGCAGCGCGGTGAGGAGGGGCCGGCCGAGGCGGCAGGGAGCAGCGCGGGACCCGTTTGCACAAGGCAGCCAGGAACGACCCCCTTAGCTGGTCCTTGTTGCTGTGCCCAGGCAGGGCTGGCTGCCGCTCAGCGGTGTCTGCGGGGAGTGAGGGGAAGGCCCAGAGGAATCGCTCTCCTTTCCCCAGGATAAACCCCTGCGAGCTCCGCAGCCCGGGGTTCTCCCATTCCCCAGCTTTGGGGGTTGCTCTTCCCGTTTGCACAAGGCAGCCAGGAACGACCCCCTTAGCTGGTCCTTGTTGCTGTGCCCAGGCAGGGCTGGCTGCCGCTCAGCGGTGTCTGCGGGGAGTGAGGGGAAGGCCCAGAGGAATCGCTCTCCTTTCCCCAGGATAAACCCCTGCGAGCTCCGCAGCCCGGGGTTCTCCCATTCCCCAGCTTTGGGGGTTGCTCTTGGTGCTTGCTTGATGCACAATAACACACAGGCGCTCTGGTCTTCTCCTCACCCCTATCCAAAGTTGTGTTATTGGGGTGCAAATGCTTCCTGCAAGCTCATGCTGGGCCTTCAGCGCCCTGGGTTACAGGATGGGCTGGATCCAAGGGAAGAGGTTGCCAACACTGCCCTGCTGAGTGTGTGAGCCAGGAAATAACTGCGCAGCTTTAACTTGTCCCTTTGCTGTGCGCAGTCCCGGCACCTGCCTGAGCCAGAACCACAGCCTGATCCAGGCGGCTCCAGGTCTGCAGCGATGCCTCCCTTTGTGGGTCCTGGGTGCCTGGGACGGTGGGACCGGGCGCCTTCGGCTGCTCGGAAACCACAAGGGAGCTTCATCCTGCTCAACGTCTCCCCCGCACGGTGGAGCGGGGGGGGTCGTGCCCTGCCGTATGTAGGCCATTCGCTGCACCGTGAAGCTGTCTGTCTGGTTAACTGTGTCGCTGCCCGAACCGCAGCTGAAGGAAAGGGGGCTCCTGGGGGCCAAGGCTGCCACGAGACGTCCCGCTGCCCTGGGGAGGACGCGCTGGCCGCAGCGGGGACGTCTCTGAGGAGCCGCTTCAGAGGACACACGAGGGCCCTGCTGCTCCCTGCGGCGCTGGTGTCTGCTGTGGTCCTGCCTCTAACACTGCCTTTTTCTTCCTAGGGGGTTGCCTGCTTAGAAACTATCCCCTGCTCAAGGAGGCTTTAGACCATCACCGTGTCTTGGCCATGAGTGGTTACTTGGATGAATCCGACTTTGTGTTGGTGGAGGAGGGCTTCACCCCCAGAGAGCTCCTGGAGAGGCTCCTCATGGAGCTGTGCCACACGGTAGGGGCTGCGCTGTCCCCAGCGCCCGCAGCCGAAACCCCCTTCCCACCGGTGCTCACGGAGCGGTGGCCGCTGCTCACTCTGTCCTTGTCCTAGAGCGAGCAGGGCGCCTTCTTCATGGCAGACCTGGGGGACGTCGTGAGGAGGCACCTGCGCTTCCGCAAGGCCTTGCCCCGCGTCACGACCTTCTTCCCCGTCAAGTGCAACGGCAGCAGAGGAGTGATCGGGCTGCTGGCCGAGCTGGGCGCCGGCTTCGCCTGCGCCACCAAGGTAGCGCTGCGAGGAGGACAGCCCCAGCTCTGCGTCCTGGGGACAACATCACCAAACCCTCCCTTGTTTCCTAGCTTTCCTCTCCCTCTTCCTAGCAGAGGTTTGGGATGGTGGGAGTCTCCCCCTGCTGTCAAAACCCTCCCAGCACAGCCTAGGAATGCCCGTCCCAACTGCCTGTCTGTTGACTCGGATGTTTGTTCCGTTTGACCGACATTTTTCTCCATGTGATCCGTGTCCTGGCTGGCAGGCCTGGCTAGCGGCACAGCACGTCCCTGTGCTGCCACAGCTGTCCCCTCTTGGTGGCTTTAGAGCTGAGCACAAAGCTCATTGCTTCTCATTAGCTCTCAGCCAGATTCCCAGGGAGAATCCCAAGTTAAACCACTTACTGGTGTGTAATTAAGTAGGAGGTGTTACGGGGGGAGAAAGTGCAAGGGAAGAGCAAGGCCCCGTTACAGCTCAGGCCAGTGCTGCAGCCTTAAGCCTCTTGCCATGGCTCGCAGGGGAGACGGCCACCAAACCATCCCTGCTAACTTGTCCCACCGGTTTCCTCTGCTCTTGGTCTTGTGCTGCTTGTAAACATCTTCCTGCCGCAGCCAGGGCAAAGTCCACCACGATCCCTTTGATCTCTTGTGCTTGGCCTGGGAAAGGCCAGGCCTAATCCTGGCTGTTTGCCCTTCACAGTGCCGAGCTGCCAAGGCCTGGAGTGGGTCATGGAGCAGCGCCGGGACCCGTCCCCAAGCTCATGCTGTTTCTCTGCAGGCAGAGATCGCCCAGGTTCGCAGCATTGGTGTTCCAGCTGAGAAGATCTTCTACAGCAACCCCTGCACGCAGGTTGCCCACATCAAATACGCAGCCAGCCACGGCGTGCAGCTCATGACCTTCGACAACGAGGTGGAGCTGAACAAGGTGGCCCGGAGCCACCCTCATGCCAAGTAGGTGCTGATGCCAGCCCTGGCAGCACTGTTGGAGCGGGGTGTTAGACTGGGAGCAGGGAGGGCACCAAGGGTTTGTGGAAGGTGCCAAGATGCCTCAATGTGGCGTCTCTTCCCTCTGCAGGATGCTGCTGGGAATCGCTGCTGACTTCAGCCCCTCTCCCCATCCAAGTGTGACGTTTGGGGCCACCCTCGTGTCCTGCCGGCACCTGCTGGAGATGGCAAAGGAGCAGGCAGTGGAAGTCGTTGGCATCAGGTACGGCGCTTGTCCCTGTGCCCCCGGTCATGCAGCCCCGCGGGGAACCCTGTCCCACTGGAGCTGGTTGGGGGCTGTAGGGACTAGGTGGAGGCTGGGCCCTGGGGGATCTGCCCTCATCGGGGCCAATTTGGGCTGAGTTTGGCTTGCAAGCCCCTGGGGCTGGTGTGGCAGGAGGGAAGCACTGAGCCACCTTGCTAGAAGGCGGACGTGCAAGTACCGCGCGGTGCCACGTCCCCTCGCCGCCGTCCCCTGCTGAGCGGGGGCTCTGCCTTCAGCTTCCACCTCGGGAGCCGCTGCCCGGAGCCCCAGGCCTTCGCGCAGGCTCTAGCCGAAGCCCAGCTCGTGTTTGAGATGGGCAGGGAGCTGGGCTACCGCATGCGCGTCCTGGACATCGGCGGGGGATTCCCTGGGCCCGAGGACTCCAGAGCGCAGTTCCAAGAGGTATTTGCCTCCCGATGCCGGCACTTGGCGTGCGGAGAGCAAGGCCAGAGGGGCCCTGGCGTCACCGCGGGGCCTGGCCGGGCTAAGCGAGAGGGAACGTGTCCTCCCCACGCAGACGGCCGCTGCCATAAAGTCTGCCTTGGACTTGTATTTCCCGGAAGGCTGCGGGGTGGAGGTGCTGGCGAGACCAGGGCGCTACTACGTCTCCTCGGCCTTCACCTTTGCAGCCAGCGTCACCGCCAAGGAAGAGGTTCCCCCGGGCCAACCTGGCTCCGAGGGTAGGTGGGACAGTGGGATGGGCCTGCCCGCGTGTCCTTGTCCCCCTGAGCCCTCTCCTTGCTCCCTGCAGAGGAGGAGTCTGGCAGCAAGAAGAGCATCGTGTATCACCTCAGCGACGGCATCTACGGCTCCTTTAACTGCGTCCTGTTCGACAGCCCCTGCCCCAGGCCTCTCCCGCACAAGGTGAGGAGCTGGCCCGGCTCGGGAAGAGCCCAGCCGGGCCCGCACGTCCCCCCCTGCTCTCCCGGCACTGTGGCCAGCACTGAGCTCCGTGACGGGGGAGCAGAGGCCGGGAAGCTGCCGGGAAGGGTTGTTCACCTTTAACGGGGGGACACCTCAAATGAAACCTTGGGCTGGAGCCAGCGGCTCCAAGGACTCCTTGGCTCTTGGGGTCAGGCATTCCAGACCGTGGGCTCTGCTCCTTTCTGGATCCATGGTGTGTCCACCAGCCCGAGCTGAGACCTGGCGTTAGCGTGACTCAATGCAACGCGTCCCATTCCATAGCCTGTATTTCCTTCCGTTCAGCTCACGCTCCCAGACAATCTGTAGCCCCCCAGGTTGGGGACCAGGTTCTCACCTGGTGTAAAGCGGCCCAGCTCCATCTCTCCCCTGCAGAAGCCCTGCCCCGACCACCCCTCGTACAGCAGCAGCCTCCGCGGCCCCCCAGGACCCGCCGAGGACCGCATCGCGGACGGCCTGGAGCTCCCGGAGCTGCAGGTCGGGGACTGGCTCCTTTTTCAGGAGATG